CTGCTATACTTAATCGTAATCATTTTTTTCATCTTTTTCAAAAGAACAACTCTCTTGAGAACAAACGGCTATTTATTATTGCAAGAAATCGATGTAAAAATGTGTTGTCTGATGCTAAACTTCATTATTCTCAGTTCACTAAATCTTGCATCTCATCTCAGAAGGTAGGCTCTAAAAATTTTTGGAAAATCTTTACAACGTCATTAACAAGGATAGGTCCAACACGCTATCTCTCATTCATGGGATTGAGCTTATTACCTCTCCCAAGGATAAGGCAAAAACTATTTGCAAAGAACTTTTTTTCAAACTCGATTCTTGATTAAACAGAATATTAAACGTATTCCAATTAAACAGGTTAACCCATTGTTAGACATTCAAATCACTCCAGCTTCCGTTGATAAAGTCATATCTTAATTAAACTTTTCTATAGTATGTAATTAATGCTTGACTGAGTCTTGTTTTCCTGCCTGCTGAAAAATGATATTTGTTATTCCAATCTTCAAAAACAATCTTCTTGAAAGTTTTTATCAAAGTTTTTAAGTGAATTATCAAATCGTTTTTTTCTAACCGTTTTATTAAAGCCATCCTCGAAAGCCAACACTCTTCTTCATTTTCACTAACTTCTGGGGTACCTCAAAGGATCTATCCTTGGTCCTGTTTTGTTTCTTATCTACATTAATAATCTTCCCGACAACCTTACATTTAAAGTAGTTCTTTTTGCTGACAATTTTGCTCAACTTTACACTCCTGCCTTGAAAATAAGTTTCCTCTTGAATCTGATCTCACTTCTAAAACAGATTGGGGTTCACAGTGGCTTGTAAATTTTAAATCCATCAAAATTCAGTTATTTACTGCAAATAACTATCGCAATACTGTCGACATTCCTACATTAATAAATGGCAACCCTCTCAGTGAGTCCTCTTCTTTACTTCTTCTTATATTATCGTTTTTTACTGACCTTTCATGGAAACCATATATACAATCGATTGCTAAATTAGCCTCTGCTAAGTTTGATTCTTTTTTATTGCCTCCTCTTGCTTGACATTTTTTCTCTCCTGATTCTATTCTCTATCTCTACAAAGCTTTTATTCGTCCCTGTATGGAATACTGTTGTCAAATTTGGGCTGTTTTTTCTAATGATGCTTGAATTATAAAGTGAGTTGGAATTATGAATTATAAAGTTAATTGGACCCGCTCTATCTGCTAAGCTCGAGCTTTTTTCCCATTGTCATGTTTGCTGCTCAAAGGAGCTATCATCTCTAGCCATCAACTAAAACTCATTCTCGCTTGACTTGTCATTCAGAAAATTTTTCCACTGCACTTGCCCTTGCATGCTCTAAAAACTTTTATTTGTCTAGTTTATTTCCACGCACTTCAACCCTTTGGAACTTTCTCCAATCTTTATGTTTTCCCGACTCGTACAACCTTTAAATTTTTAACTCTTTTGTCCGTTTCTTTGCTCTATAACTCTATTCTTCTTTTTCTTGTAACTTCCAACTTAATAATGGATATAATCTTCTCAATATAATACAATGGAAACAATCTTATTTTTTTGTAACTCCCAACTTAATAATTGCAGTCTTGTTGAAATCAGAATAAAAGAAAAATAAATTTACCACTTACGCAATGGTGTTGTTGAACTATGCAAATCATCATTAGACAGCTCACATCAATGTGTCTTATTGTTTGCTACGTAAAGGTGGTAGTTTTACTTTAAAAATTTAAACTTATACAACGCATGCCCTCGTGATTATTTTTACCATTCACGTTTCCGTGAAAAAAAAACTCACCTTAACAACAAGGAAAGCAACTATGTAAAATTATTACATGATTTATTAGCGATGATAATAAAAAAATATAGTTTAAGTATAATTTTTGATTTAATGAAATATTCTCAATACGCTAAAAATGTCGGAGTTATTTCATTTTTAATTTTAGTACCGTATTAAAGTACCGTAACATTGGGTAACTTTGCACAACCGTGGGTAACATTGCACAACCCAAATCAAAGATATTTTACTCTCTAGCAGTTGAAAATTTGAATTACAACTTCAAAACACTTTTGAAGTCAGCTTTATATTCTAGTTATAATTCGAAAATAGTGTAAAATAGTAACTTTAACGAAATTTCTTTCTACACAAGTAACTTTACTTAAACATAAAAGAAAAATAATTAAACCTCAAGGTGAGTAAATGGCATAAAACGCTCGTCATAATACTAGTTTGAATTATTCTATTAGTCTGGACGCTACGTGTAACTTTTTCTTGGAAATGAAGTGGACATTACAAAAACTACTTAAATAGTTTAACATTGATATCTTGAATAAGAAAAACTTTACGTGCCTTTCTGAAAGTGCTTAAAGGATCACATTTAGGCCCTTATTTGGTACTGATGACGTCATTTTGATATTTTTTAAAAAAATCAAACTAAATAAAACATATTTTTTGTCAAAAGTTAGATAAACTATTGATAAAACCTTATAATAAATAACAAAATCTCGAAAAAAACTTACGTGTCTTTCTGAAAGTGCTTAAAGAGTCAAATTTGGGGCATTATTTGGTACTGATGACGTCTCGCTGGTCTACTTTTTTTTATCAAACTAAAAAATATATGTTTACGTCAAACGTTAGATAATTTCTTGAGAAAACCTTATAATAAATAATAAAATCTTTAGAAAAACTTACGAGTAATTCTAATAGTGCTTAAAGTGTCAAATTTGGGCCCTTGTTTGGTACTGATGACGTCACGCTAATAATTTTTTCAAATTTCGCTAAAAAAAATTTAGCGAACAGATTTTTAAAAGGGAAAATTCGAATTAGTTGAATAATATTTTGTCTAAGTGTTGTCCCAATCATTTGTGTTTTCACAAGACGAACAGTTGCGTACAAGTCAATCCATGTAATCAACCCGTGTTTTACATTTTGACTTTTTACACGAATAGGAATTAACTGTTGATTGCCAATTTCTTGCCATCCATATCCATTGGGTTTTGGAATATTGAAATTTGCCTCCACTGATTGTTTGACAATTGCTGTTTGATACGAAACTCTCTTGCAATGACACATAAGAGCATCTCTAGTTGGAAGAAACTTTTAAGGTTTTGTAACTTCTTTCTTGGCAATAAACTTAAGATATCTTCCTTCGTTCGTATCACTGCATTATAATTTTTGTAACTGACATATAAACTTTTCGATTTGGTTAAAATGGGTTACATCAAAGGTATAAGAGCCCCCAACCTTGGAAAAATTGACTTGTACTCTTCAGACTGTCTCATTAGTTTGAGGAACTTTGACTTACCAATCCCGTAAAATGCACTTGTATAATTGTTCCCGCTAAATGCATGAAGAGCAAGAAGAGCTTTACAACAATCAGTAACTAACTGTGAGGCAATAAGATTTATATCAAGAGTCCGTCTTTCAGCAGAGACGCCAATATCCACAAATAATTCTATTCGAAGTTGGTTTTAAAAGTACAAAGCGTAAATAGCAATATATGTGTCAACCGTGTGAATGCAAACGGTTTCGAAAACAATAGATGCATTATATATAGGCAGTTTAAAGTATGTTTTTTTAAAAGACAAAACCTCGCTGCGAATCTTTTGTGCGACATGATGGATAAGCTGTTCAATCGGTTTTGGATTATTCTTTTTTTCTAAATTCTCAATCTTTTTTAAAAAACTTCAACAATTTTTCCCTTCTCAATGGTATTGTTGCATAAGAAAAAATACCCTATTTTGGTAACCACAACTGAACAGACCCGCAAGTTCTGCAACTACAGCACCCTGCAAAGTCCTTTTATCTAGAACCTTTGCTCTATCTGTGCAGTTTTCCTCCTAAAATTCAAATAGCTTACTTGTATGAGTAATCTCTAAATTGTCTAATACGTGTTCTGTCACATAGTCGAAGAGCAAACGCATAATTGCATTTTCTGTTAAAATAAAAGGAACATTTTGGGGTCTTGTATAGTTAATGTAACAAGACCGATGATAATATAACTATAAGGAAACTATGGTTTGCCCAATATACTAGCTGGGTTTTCAGCTTTACTTAAGCGTTTTCTTTTAACATGTTTGCTGCACTTTTTGTTACGAATTTTGCCCAGTAAGCACGGACGTAAAAAAGACGTTTTTAAACGTCTTTTACTTATTTTGGACTTCTTATGAACGTCTTTTGAACGTGTTGAACGTCTTTTAAACGTTCAAAAGACGTCTTTTTTAGGTCCGGTGCCCATTGGGTGTAAGCGTTTTATATCCGTTCCTATATTTATTAGTCTTTTTGCAATAGCAAATGCAACACTTTAAATCCGCAATAATTTTTCATGAAATAAAGGAATTATTTTAATTTTGAAGAGTACATAAAACATAAAAAAACGTGAAAACAGAGGGAAATATTCTTTGCTTTGCATTTCACACTCAAAGGTTTTTTAATTTGCCTGATCTATCTCTTTTCCGAGCTGAAATTCTGCGCTTAAATGAGGATGCCGGGTTTTAGGAAGGGGGGGGCGAGGTCGCGCGTTGCACGAGGGTGGCAAGTAAATAGGGGCGGAGAGTTTTATTAGTCACAAGTTATAATTTTCCAGTAGTATATTAAAAATTTAAATTAAATTAAAAGATTTAACGACCTTTGCAAACAAAAAACACGATTTTAAATTTGAAGACAAAAAATTACTACATTTACTTAATTAACGCACGATTTTCTATTGTAATTTGTAGTATCATTTGTGCGTTATTTCCCCTAGGAGTCATTTCGAAAAGTTGCACATTTTTTTATAAAGAAGTTCAAAAGTTTTTATTTTTTGTTATTAAATGTTAAGTTGACTCGGTTTAAACAATTTTCAGTAAGTTTAGTTACTTTTTTTTTATTTCTTTAATAATTTTATGAATGTGTTTTGAGAACTTCGTTAAATTTTTTTTTTTTAAATTGTAGAAATAATTTTATCTTAAAAAATATTCTGTCTCATGTCACATAAAATTTCAAATTCGAGAAAAAAGTTGTCTGGTTATGAGTACAGAAAAAGAAAGTCCGTTAAAGATCGAAGGTCGTGAAGATTTTAACCCTGATGCTTCAACTATCTCTACGACTATGTCCAATAAAATTGGAGAACCTTCAACAATACTCAAAAATAGTTGTATAAGTTCATTGCAAATTGAAGTAGATAATGAACCAGTTATTTTAAAAGAATCGAATGATTTATCGGAAGATTTTTTACAAGAAACACCTAATTTATTGGATTGTGGAAATTGGCCAATTGTTCGATCTAGCAACTTTGTGGACCATTTAATCAAACTTGGTCCTTTTCAAATTACAAAGGAAAAATACCCTGAAAATAGAAATGGTGGACATTTTTCTAACATTTATTACAATAGAAAGCTTGCGAATGGAGAAACCTTTTGCCGTAGATAATTGATTTATTCAGATTCTAAAAACTCCGTATTTTGTTTTTGCTGTCTACTTTTTGATAATAATTCAAAGTCAAACTTAGTCTTGATGGTTTCAAGAAATGGAGACATTTAACTGAAACATTGGGAATTCATGAAAACAGCGTCTCTCATATGAAATGTTATCAACAGTGGGTAGAAACTGAAATAAGATTAAAAGCTGGAAAAACTATAGATAATGAAGAAATTAAAATTATAGAAAAAGACAGTTTGCGATGGCAAAATGTTCTTCTTCGACTGATGAATATCACTCTTTACCTAGCTGAAAATAATATGGCTTTTCGAGGGAGTTCGGATAAACTGTTTACGCCTCAAAACGGCAAATTCTTAGGACTAATACAGATGCTTGCAAAATTTGATCCTGTGATGCAAAAGCATTTAGCACTTGCAATAAAAGGTGACACTTCAGACCATTATTGCGGGAAAAATATTCAAAATGAGTTATAGATTTAATGTCTCAAAAGGTTAATGATGAAATAATAAACCGAGTCTTGAAAGCCGTTTACTATTCAATCATTGCTGATTGTACACCTGATATTTCTAGAAAAGAACAACTTTCTCTTACTATTCGAATTGTTGACTTGTCATTAGACATTAGAGTGGAAATTAAAGAGTACTTTTTAGGATTCTTTTCTGTTTCTGATTCTACAGGCTTAGGACTTACTGAGGTTTTAATCGAGTTGCTAACTAAGCATGGACTTGAAATCTCTAACTGCAGAGATCAAGGGTATGATAATGGATCAAATATGAAAGGAAAGATTAATGGTGTACAAAAAAGGATTTTAAATCTTAATCCTTTAGCATTATATGTTTCTTGCGGCAACCATAGCTTAAATTTGGTAATAAGTGACTCTGCACGGTCTTCAGTAAAATCTATAGCTTTTTTCGGTATTCTTCAGAGATTGTTTACTCTATTCTCAGCTTCAGTAAGCCGATGGAAAATTTTAATTGAACATGTTAAAATTTTGCATTTAAAGAAACTCTGTGACATGCGGTGGAAAGCAAAAATAAGTAGTGTTAAAGCCGTTCGTTATCAAGTTGGTGATGTACATGACGCTTTGATAGCATTGTCAGAAATTGAAGGATGTAATCCTGAAACTGCACATGAAGCGATAACTCTAGGAGAGCAATTAAAAGATTTTAGCTTTCTTGTCTCTTTAATTGTCTGGTATGACGTTTTTTTTCAAGTCAATATTGTTAGTAAAACTCTTCAAGAAAAAGACATGGACATCACTCAATGTGCAAAGTTATTGAAAAGCTGTTGTTCATTTTTAGAAAACTATAGAAAATGAGGTTTTAAAGATGTAATTATAAAAGCAAAGGATTTGGCTATAGAATTACAAGTGGAGCCTGTTTTTAAACCACTTAAAAGAATAATACGAGTGAAACGCCATTTTGACAAACCAGCCCAAGATGGGATTTATTTATTTTCTCCTGAAAAAAAAATTAGAAATCGATTTCTTCAATCCTCTTTTAGACACATCTTTAATTTCAATGAGAGAAATATTTATACAGTTGGAGAATTATTCCGAAGTTTGGGGTTTTTTGTATAATGTCGATAGTTTGCAAAAAAGAGAAGAAATTCTAAAATCATGTTTAGCTCTTCAAAGTAAACTTACCGTAAATTTAAAATCGGACATTAATGGTATTCTCCTTTGCGATGAACTGATGAGCATTAAACCTTTTCTTTCTGAAATGGTCAAGGATAAAATTACTCCTATTATTGTTTTAAAATTTATAAAACAGCACAAAATGCAAGATTTGTATCCAAACACATGGATTGCAATGCGAATTTTGCTAACAATACCTGTCACTGTAGCGAGTGGAGAAAAAAGCTTTTCCAAAATGAAACTAATAAAAACCTATCTGCGGTCAACAATGTCGCAGGATAGACTTTCAAGTTTAGGAACCCTATCGATTGAAAAGAATATTGCTGAAAATCTTGATTTTTCAACCCTAATCAAAGATTTTGGTGATAAGAAGGCTCGTAAGATTAATTTAAAAAATTAAATGTATTTTGTGTAAAACATAAACAAAAAATGTTTCTTTGTATGTAGCGTTTTATTGCAAAGTATTATTTTTGAATTCGATTTGTTATTATTTTCCATGTAATTTACCAGCACGTTTATAAAATTTTCAGGGGCGGCAGGACAAAATTCGCACGAGGGCGGCAAAAAGGCTAAGACCGGCACTGTGCATTATCCACGTTTACACTCTCGTTGACTTTTTTTGCTCTATTTTTCCGATGTTATAAAATGTTTAATGTTTTTATATTCACATACTTATTGTAACATCTTTGATGAAATAAGAAAGTTGTTGGGCACGTATCAGCAGGTCCGTATCCTTTTTAGTCCGCATTATTTGGTCTTCAAGATTTTTGACCATATAAAGTTTAAACCCCCTCAATTTGAGGGAGTCGCAAATTTTATATTGTTATAATTATTGAACGCTGAAATATTTTACTATGAAATTTAAAATTTATTGATAAATATAAGTCTAGTTAAAAATAGTACAAAAATATTTCACCAACTTGTTGCTCTCACGTTTGGGGCAGGGGAAGCACAAATTTTGGGGCTTTTTTGTTACCAAGCTCCAATCATCGTAATTTTAAATTATTTAAAATAAAAAATGCTGGATACGGACCTGAATTTCAGGTAGAATGTTTATGATTTTAAAGTTTCGAATTTGACGATAGTAAAAAAAAATATTATTATCAAATTTACGCAATTTATTGTTTTTTCCATACCATTGTTTAAGACATATATAAAAAAATAAATTGAGTTTTACATTTAGTTTGTGACTTACCAAGCATTGTGAGTCGCAATGTTTGGTTTGTAAGTCGCAATGCACAAGTCTTCACTTTCGCAAGCGCATTTTCAGTAAAACCACGCAGTTTGTTATTATTACGACCAACTTCACCTTGATGAAGTATATAAGCATTTTCAATTTCTTTTTTAAGAACCAGATTAAAATGCTGCATTTTTTGGCTACTCGCCATTATTTAGTTTAATAATAATAAAAAGGGTATGTACAATCGGCAGAGCAGAGCAGATTGGCAGAGCAGATCATTGTAATGTTGATAGCGGCAGAGCAGATTATCCAATCAGCCGTTTTCTAATGTGTGATCTGCCAAATATTATTTGGCAGATCACACATTATTCAAATATTATTTGGCAGATCAAGCATTATCAAAATTTAATTATAAAATACGTTTTTTTAGTTTTATGTTTTATATTTTGCACAACCGTTTCTTTTAAAATGATTGCAGTTTGTTATGCAAATTTTTTGTTTTATTTATAAAAATGACTCTGATTTTTTTCTTTTATTTATGATTTTTTTCTTTTATTATGACTTTTATTTCTTTACTTTTAAAAAGAACTTTGATAACATAAAAAAAGCAAACAGTTTTTGAAAAGTAAACATTTTTTAACGTAAACAAATAACGGGAACATTGTTTATTTTTTAGATTTATTAAATTAAAATTATTTCATATTTTAAACACAATATTAAAAAAAAAACTTTAAACAAATTTTCTAAAGAAGGTTTATGAAGTTTTGGTTACATAGATTTGAGTAATTATATTTAAAACATCTAATTTTACAAACAATTAACCCCCTGTCAGTAATTTGTTAATACTAAATTAATGCTTTGCGGTATTGGATTTATAAACAACATGGCGGATATATTATGCTTATAATCTTTTTAATAAGCTGCATCAATTTTTGTCTCTAACTTAAGTTATAAGCACTTTCCAAGAGGCACGTAAAAACTTTTAAACTTCTTAAGTTATAAGGAACAACTCTATATAAAAATTAGAATGTCCACTCAAAATGTTTAGTTTTCCTTTTTTTTTTTTTACATGTAGCGACCAGACTATATGTTTTAATGCGATTGTCAGTAGAGATGAATAAAAAAATACCATTTTTGTAAATAAATTACTATTTTGGACTAAATTGTGACAACTTTGCACAATGTGCAAAGTAACCATAACTGTCTTTAATCATCTAAAAACAATACTTTTTAAAAATTTAAGCAAATTGTATATATAAGCAAAGTTACTACATAAATTTTTTATTGTTTTTATTAATTTTAATTGCTAATTAGTAATAGCATTCATGTTTTTTTCAGATGTCAAGTTGTTACAAAGCTAGAAAAAATAAGAACTATACAAGTAATGACTTATCCAAATGTCTTGAAGAGGTTAAAAAGCTGACACAAAAGCAAGCTGCTGCTAAATATGGCATCAGCCGAAGAACGATTTGTTACAAATTAAAAGGAAAACACAACTTAAAACCTGGTAAACCATACTTCTTTTCCAAATTTGAGGAGGCTGCTTTTGTGAAGTGTACCATTCAATTAAGTAATTTTGGATTTCCAATCGTTAAAGAAGATTTACGTCATATTATGAATAATTATCTAATTAGTTCAGGAAAAAAAGTAAAAGAGTCTAAAATCTTTATTGGGCCTGATTTAGTTAATTCATTTTTACAAAGACATCCACAGCTTACAAGTAAATTTGTGCCAAACTTAAAAAAATCTTGAGTAAGAGTTAATGAAGAAAATTTAAAGAATTATATTCAGCAGTTATCAATAACTGTACAAAATGTACCTCCAAGCAACATATATAATTACGATGAAACAAATTTGACCGATGATCCAGAGTCAAAAAAATGCTTGGTAAAAAGAGGTAATAAATATCTAGCAAATATAAGAAACACTTCAAAAACAAGTATTTCTATTATGATATCAGGTAATGCTGCAGGTGAAGTTCTACTACCTTTTATAGTTTATAAAGCTGTAAATCTGTGATCGACTTGGTGTGTAGTAGGTCCTAAAGGAGTCAGATATTTCAACACTAAAAGTGGTTGGTTTGATGGAGCAGCTTTTGAAGAGTGGTTTTTTTCTATAGTTTTACCTTCTTTAAAAAAAAAATCAGGAGTTAAAGTTTTGTTATGCGATAACTTATTCTCTCATATCTCTCCAAAAGTAATTAATGTTTGTGAAAAAAATGAAATTCTGTTTGTTTGCCTGCCACCTAATAGCACGCATATAACTCAACCTCTAGATGTGGTTTTCTTTAAACCTTTAAAAACAGCTTGGTGTAAAATTATTACAGAGTATAGAGATTCTCCTGTTGGCTGCACAAAAATATCTCTTGAAAAACAACATTTTCCAGAACTTTTAAACAAGTTAATGATTGCTATAGAACCAAATCAGGCTAACAACTTAAAATCAGGTTTTAGAAAGTGTGGTATTAATCCAGTAAATGTCAATCAACTTCTCACACAATTTAGAAAGAGAGAATCGTACAATAAAGAATTTTTAGAAGACAGCTTTAAGATTTTTTTTACAAGAAAAATAAAAATCCTTGCAGTCTCCAGAAACTAAAAAACAAAAAAAAAGCTTTCTGTTCCTGCAGGGAAAAGTGTTGGCACAGAAGATTTAGAAAAATTTGATAAGTTTTAATAGTTTTGATATTGGCTCAAAGCTTGCAAAGAAAAAAAAACTAAACAAAAACACGAAGAGCATAAAGTTAAAAGTTCAATCTAAAGAAGATCCAAAAGAGTGTCATGATCACAGTTCTAGCTCAAAATCATCGAGTAGTATTGAAAATAAACTTGTTGAGAAAAAGAATAAGAATGAGATGCCAAACTTAGAAAATTTGAGACATGAACTTTTTCCTGGACAAATTACAAATGTCAAGGAAAACAGTGCTTATATGAAGCCAATGGTAAAAATATTAAATGCTTTTCTAACATACAAGAAGATTTTTATGAATGGGACAATACTTGTTTCACATCAAGGAGTCTTTGTTTTATAAACTTAAAGTACTCTCCCAGTGGGCATTTCGACGTCGAACGGACGTCGAGCGACGTCGGATCTCGACGTCGGATCGACGTTGGGTTTACGTTGGAAATGGAAATGTTATTTGACGTCGGATAAACTGACATCGCGCGACGTCGGCATTCCGATGTAAATCCAACGTGTTTTTTGAAAACTAAAAAACGTTGCCTTAGGCATGAATCGAACCTCGGTCTACCGTTACTAAGTCCTACGCGCTTACCACTACACCACAGGGGCATGTTGAATAATTTGTTTATTTAGTAATTTATACTTGTAGCTATTTGGGAATTATTTCTTTGATAAGAAATAATTTTGTTTAAATATTATATAAATATTAAAACGAATAGTTATATATTATAAAAAATGTATACTCGAAAATGTTAATAGTTAAAAAACTATGCTAGTGCATCATACAAAACCTCATGATGTTTTACCAACCATTATTCAAACTTCTTTCCATTAATAAAAAACACGCTTAGTTCACATATTTATTGAAGAGCGCAATTGCACACATATTGTTGGGTTTGGATTAAATTTTCATCAGCGATGTCTTACGACGTTGTTCCGACGTCGTTTTAAGGACGTTGGATTGACGTCGGAAGACGTCAAAAGACATCGGAGTACGTTAATATTATGACGTTGCCCGACGTCTTTTTATCGACGTTGGATCGATGTTAGTACTGCGACGTTTTTTGGACGTCTTTTAAAAGATGTCGGAACAACGTCAAAATACATCGAAACGACGTCAGGGGATGTTGAGATAAAGACATCGCCCGACGTCATTTTACTGACATCGGAACAACGTCGGAATAGGTCTTTTGACATCGCTGATGAAAATCGCACGTAAATCCGACGTCGGATTGACGTCGGGTGCCCACTGGGCTGTTAGACTTTCATTTTTCTTGAAGTTTGTTTATTTAACTTTTATTTTTTATTTTAAAGATTGCCTACATTAAAGAAAATTTTGTGTTTTTAGTTTTTAATGTGGCTATGTTTCTTTTATTACGTTAATTTTTTTATTTACCAAAACAATATTAAATCGATTTTATTGTTTTATTTTTATTTCTCTTTAAACTCTCGTTAAAATTTCCTTTAAACACTATAAAATAAAAAGAGTTTAATTAGCAAAATTCATATAAACGGTAAAGTTTTTTTTCAAATTTTATAAGGCTGTGCAAAGTTAGCCCAAACCTCGGTTAACTTAGGACATAATTTAAACATCCATGAAAAATCCTTCTTTAATGGTTAAAAAAATAAATTCTTATAATAACGGTTTTTAAATAGTCCAAATAAAATTTTTGGCAAGTTTTTATAAATACTTGAGACGTTTTAAGCCAATTTTTAGAAACACAATGCAAAAAATTTCAACTTTTTGCGCAAATTTACCCAAAGTTACTGTACTAATGTTGCAATAGACTATCATTACTTGAAAGATTTCGATTTTAAGATTAAATAATTTAGAAAAAGATTCTTTACTTTTTCAAATGGAACAAAACCGATCTTAAATTCAGTTAAAAAAAATTTCAATCTTATAAAGATTAAAATCTTTATAGGATTTATTGGACCAAGATTTTGATAAAACCCTTTTATAGGATTAAAATTTTTATCGGATTAAGGTTTTGATGAAACTCTTTTATAGGATTAAAACTTTTATCGGACCAAAGTTTTGATGAAACCCTTTTAAAAGATTGAAATTTTTATCGGAGCAAGGTTTTTGATGAAACCCTTTTGAACGATTGAAATTTTTATTGGACTAAGGTTTTGAAGAAACCCTTTACATCTTAAACTAAGTTGTTAAAATTCTTTTTAGTTCGACTAAAAAAAAAAATTAATGCACAAACGAAGACTTATGAGAACAAAAACAACTGATTTAGGAAAATATCTTACATATATTCTCTGCATAAAATTTATCTTGGAGATTGTTTTGAGGTTGAGTGATTGGTTTAAAAGGTTTGTGTGATATATCATGTGTTTTATGCGTAATTTCAAACAAAAGCCAAATTATGTCGGGTTTGTAACGATAAAACTTCTGTAGTGTTGAAACTGTTTCCTAGAATAGAATAATTAAAAATTGAGATATTTTTAAATCTCAAGAAACTATACCATCAAACTATACCAACAACATGTTTTTAATTAAATTTTAATAGGTTTTATTCAATTTTAATTTAAAAACTTTTTTTATAAACAACTTAAAATTAAAAAAAAAGGTTTTTTTTTCTTTCGAAACAGCAAGATTCATTGATGAATCTAATAATCTCAATTTTTTTTTTTTAATTTTTATTTTAATTCACCTCCTCAAGGCCGAGAAGGCCACTACAGACGAGGAGGCTACTTATTTTGTGGCTATAACCCTCTCTCAACTTTATAACTCAGAAACGCGAACCTTGACGAACAAGGCCGCTGTGCGGAGAAAGGAGTTGAGCGCGGTACTACCAGGGACGTGGTGGGGATCGAACCCCGAACCACTCGTTTATGAAGCGAGCGCTCTATCACTACACCACTACCGCATATACACCATATAAATTTTATTTATTAATTTTGGTATTAAGGTGCTCCAAAAAGATCTAAAGGTCTTGTCACAGAGCACCTCGGAAAAGCATTTAGCTAGGAAGTTACCGATGTCGCATATATGGTCAGAGCAGAGATTGAGTCTTGGGTTTCTCGATTCTGAAATAAGCGCTCTAACCATTGCGCCACGGTTGCTCTAAAAAATTAACGACACAATAGTATTCTGACTGTTCATGGTTTACATGGTAACAAAAGTTTTTAAAACACAATTCACAACAGTGTTACAATTTAAACTTTAAAAGTAATAATGTATATAAAAATATTAAAAAAGTAAAACTTAACCTCTCGCACAGCCAAATGCAATCTGTAATCTAGGTATAGAAATAAGGAGGAACAAAGATTACAAAATATTTTTTTAGTCGGATTTAAAGTTGGAATAATTGCCCCAATAAAACGCACAAGCTTTGTCAAAACCTTATTGACTTGAATATATTTTGATTGATCTTGAGTAAAAGTGTAAACATGCTCATCCAAAAATCGTACAACAAATGGTAAAAATTCATCCGTCATTCTTTTTCGCAAAAAGTCGCCTGAATGTTCTACCATTGTGCACACAACATCCAAAGCCTTTAACACCACAACCTAAAGTATTTTAACAAAGTAAAACAATTATATTTATTTAAATGGCTCGCAGTAAAATTGCAACAACAACAAAACAAAATTGTATAAGAAGCTGTGACCTGTTTAATTATATCACCAACCCAAAATATTCTTGGCAAATGTTTTGGCTACCTTGGTCACATTAAAAAATTAATGTTTTAAGAAAGGTTATATATAAATATATATAACCTCTGGAACCCTCTAAATATGTTTCAGATAATGAAATAACATTAATAGCTATTTAAATCATAAACCACGTAACCGTCATCAAATGTTCTAGAGCATTCTACAATATAACTGCACAATTATCAATTATCATCAATTCATATCTGCTGTTTCCAAGATATTAAATAATTTTTTGATTAAAAAACTTTTTTAGTTTCTTAATTTATGGCTCAAAGAATAAAATGCTTATCGAAAATGGTGCAAAATTAATAATTACAAATTCTTTAAAACTAAAACTAAATAAAGCTTAAATTGACAACATAGATGAGAAGAATGTCCCCAAAGACATGAAAAAGAAAAAAAAAGAAAACGAATTCAAAAAGAAAACAAATGTTCTTGATAAAGATCAGACACTATTTCTTCTTGGGGATATTGTGTCAAAAATTAAATTCCAATTGGAATAGGAATTTCTAACAAATGCACTTATAAGTTTTGTTGTTACCAGTTCTGGTAAAAATATTGGTGATATTACTTTTTCCTTCAGCTCTGTTCACATAATCTCTGACAAAAAATCGTATAGGAGGATGCAGCTTGAGAGGTAACTTAGGAGAAATATTTAAGAACACAGGCAAACAAAAGATTTTACATTTTGATGAGATAATCATTAAAGAATTTACAGGTGCAACATATGAGACATTAAAAGTCCTTGTAAAATTGCAGAATTAGATCTTCTTGATGTGCCAGGAATGGGCCATAAACCAGGAGAGAGGAAATATTTAGTTAAACATAATTTATTGAATTATATTCATAATGATTAGTTTCATATCTATGCTTTGACACTATTGCTTCAAATACTGATTGTCTCAAAGGAGCATACATAAAAGGTTGGTTTTTAATTTAATTTAATAATAATAATTTCATGACTAAAAACTGCTCATGTTAACTTGCGAACATAATGTAGGTGAAATTCACATTATGCATTTTTATGATATTGAGGCAACTCACAAAACTGTTCGTCCTCAGAGCCCATGTTTAAACCTTTAAAGCAGCAATGGAAAAAAATTAACAGAAATCAGGTATAAAACTTAGTCAATTCTATACAATTCAGTGGTACCTAGTTGGAGGAGTTAGCCTGCTTAGCACTGCAAACTTGCAAAAACCTCAAGGACAGTGGTATACTAAGAAACAGTGAGGTAAGTTAAATAAATTAAATTATAAATAAGGCAACCCATTGTTACATCTATATTAATGCTTACAAAAATACTGATATTACTAATTTTTAATTGGAAATGGGATGAATGTGGCAAATAATTTGAAATAACTGAGCTTGTAAATATGCATTTTGATAAAAATCAAGCCACATCACCAGTTTAGAATTCAAAAAACTGCTCACATGCACACCTAATGGGCAAGTTCTTTTACTTTATGAAGTTGAAGCTACTGCTGCCAAGGATCAGACAAGTCATTAATCTGAGTAAAGGCATTATTATAAATTGTTTAACTATTAGAGGAAATACTGGCAATGAAATACTGAAAATGTGCCACTATTCTAGTTTTCAGTCTGCAGCCAAACTTGTTATGAAATCATAGGAAAATCGTATCTGGTATTAGGATCCATCTACACTTGTATTGTTGTTAGCCTTTTCTGACAGTGGCCATCACAACGACGTTGAAAACATGTCAATGTTTATATACTCAATGGAGAGAGATAAACACAACAATAATAAATTTGCAATAATCAGACCAGTTTTTCCAAATTTTTCTGAATTTTTCTTAAAAAGCCTATTTATGCCTGATTTTACTATATATGCACAATATGAAGGTCAATAAATACATAAACATTTTATAACAATAAGTAATTAAAAATAAGCAAATCAAATAACCATATTTCTTTTATTTTATATATTTGTAAGTAAATCCGAAAAAACTACATCCATACATATATATATATATATATATATATATATATATATATATATATATATATATATATATACATATATACATATATATATATATATATATATATATATATATATATATATATATATATATATATATATATATATATATATATATATATATATATCTATATCTATATCTATATCTATATCTATATATCTATATATCTATATATCTATATATCTATCTATATATATCTATCTATCTATCTATCTATCTATCTATCTATCTATATATATATATATATATATATATATATATATATATATATATATATATATATATATATATATATATATATATATATATATATATATATATATATATATATATATATATATTTAACTGCATACAATTTTTTGATTATAACACTAAACTTAATTAACATTAATTAATTCAACAGTTACATCACCAAGTTAGAAACATCAACATCAAATAGAGTAATAAGCATTACATTGTGTTATAAAACAACTGAAACTGGTAAAAAGAAAAATAAATAAATTAAAAAAAAAAATTACTAATTAAATCTAAAACTAAATAGTCTTTAAAAAAACTGTTTAATTTTACAAGCAATTTATATTTCATACTAAAAGTCAGTACTAGTATTCTAGCGCTTAGAGTTTAACACTTTAAATAAGATAATTAAATAATTTAATTTGCATAAATAAAATAAATGAAAAATTATTTATCGATTATTCAAAGAATATAGTAAAATAAATACTTTTTACCAAAAGACCCTTTTAAGATAAACAGCTTATGGGATTCCTGCGTTACTGAGCGCAAGTACTTCTAGTTATCTTTACCATAAATTTTTTTTTAAATATCTAAATATATCTGCGCCACTCATTTGAAATACCATGTAATAAAATTCTAGCATGACCGACAGAATGGATCCCTAATACACACACACACATATATATATATATACACACACACACACATATATATACATATATATATATATATATATATATATATATATATATATATATATATATATATATATATATATATATGTATGTATATATATATATAAATATATATATATATATATATATATATTTATATATATATATATATATATAGATGTATATATGTATATATATTATATATATATATATATATATATATATATATATATATATATATATATATATATATATATAAATGTATATATGTATATATATATTATATATATATATATATATATATATATATATATATATATATATATATATATATATATATATATATGTATATATATATATTTATATATGCACATATATATATATTTATATATGCACATATATATATATTTATATATGCACATATATATATTATATATATATTATGTATATATGTATATATTTATATATGCACATATATATATATATTATATATATATATTATATATATTATGTATATATATATATATATATATATATATTATGTATATATATATATATATATATATATATATATATATATATATATATTATATATATATATATATATTATATATATACACTGGTTTTCATAAATTTAGACGCACTCATATTTGAGAATAGAAATTTTTAGTTTTTCAACGATAAAACAATGACGAAAAAAGATTTTGGTTTAGTTTTTTTTCTATTTATTAGATAAATACATACAGAATACAAAATTTAAAAAAAGTTTACAAAAAAAAATGAAATACTAAGTAATAATTAGGTACAACTACATGGTATAAAAAAAATTAGACAAAAAAAATTATTCATAAATTTAGACGCACGATACATTAGAAGGCGTAATTTATAAACCAATCAATATTTTGTGTATCCGTGTTTTGCTTTAATACAACTAAGAACTCTTCTAGACATAGACTCAACAAGATTTTTGCACATCGCTTCTGGGACCCCATACCAGGTCTCCTTAAGGAATTCCTTCAGCTGACCAAGTGTGGAAATTTAAACCTTTAATAATTCACGGTCAATCCAAGCCCAAATGTTTTCAATCGGGTTCAAATCAGGTGAGTATGGAGGCCACGGTATTGTCATGATATTATTATCGTTGAACCACTCCTTTGTATAGTATGCAGTATGTGCAGTAGCGCCATCTTGTTGAAGTTTCCATGGTTTATCATTGAGCATAAGCAGGTCAATTGATGAAATTAAGTTGTTTTCCAGTACTTCTACGTA